GATCTTCAAATGGTGCTAAATTGCATTTCGGATGACTTGCCCTTTATAATCTGTCTTTGCTTCTTACCACTATCGTTGTGAAAACTGGGAATGATCGGGTAGGATATATAATTTTTAATTCTGGCTGAATTAAAAATAAAGGAAACTTTAAATCTAAAATTAATTCATCTCTTCGGCAGGATAAATACAGAAAAGTGCTTTGATAATAAGTGCTTAATCACTCCTCCTCATCTACCTACTCCTTCTGAAAATAAAGTTGTGAACCTGGTGTTGAATTTGAAGCTTACCAGATGATAATGAATTTCAATTATTGTTCAATTCTAGCTTTATTGAAAACTAGAATTTAGTTGTATCAACCTTTGGGTATGTCAAAACATGCCTCAGTGGGAGAGTGCAGAATGCCTTATGAATCACTAGAGATCTCTCAGTTATGTGATTATGTAGAAGTAGTAGGTGAAGCTGCTTATTAGAGCACTTATAAGCTCATCAGTACTACTGTTATAAATCTGCTGGGAAAGGCAGACTAACATGGTCCAGTAATCTTTGCCTCCTGGTGTTCATGCCTTTGTATCTTGACATTGGGCCAGTCTGGTTTCTTGCTTCTAATCAATTGAATATGACAAACACAGTGGGATGTCATTTCTGTGATAGGTTAGATAAGATAGTGACTTTCTCTTTTCCTTCTCAGACTCTTCCCCTAGTGGCTTTGATTAAGCAGATTTTATGTTGGGCCATGCAAGGAAATGAGGGCAGGCTCCAGCCAACAGCCATCTGGACACTGAGACCCTCTGCTCAACATCCCTTAAGGAAATCAGTACTGCCAACAAGCATGAGAGCATGAAAATCTGCTTCTTCCCCAGTCTAGACTTCAGATGAGACCCCAGCCATGGCTGACACCTTACCTGCAGCCCATGGTAGGTCTTAAAGTAAAGGGCTCTGTCAAGCTATGCTCAGATGCCTGACCCAGTCCAGCCATGAGACTATAGATATGTGTCATTTCAAAGTCCTAAGATATTTGACACATAGCCATGGAAAACTAATACATAGCTGTATGTGTTTGCTAGGGCCGCTGTGACAAAGTACCACAAAACTGGGTGGCTAAACCAACAAACTTTTCTTTTCCCGCACACTTCTGGAGGCTTTAAGTCATAGTGTCAGCAGGGCTGATTTCTTGGGAGTCCCCTCTCCTTGGCTTGTAGATCCCTGTCTTCTCCCTGTGTCTTCACATGTCATTGTCCTCCTCTCCTCTTCTCAAAGAGACACCAGACACATTGGATTAAAGACCACACTAATGACTTAATTACTTCTTCAAACAATAAGGAACATATATATTTCATTTTTTGACCATTACAAAATTGTTAGAAGGCTCTATCCCCTCTAGACTCCCTGATTTCCTAGCTTACAGTGTATAGTCAGTTGGGTCCCTGTACCAGGCCTCAATACTGCCAGAAAATTAAAACCAGAGGAAGAAGACTGCAGTGTCATATCAGGAAGCCCAGTGCCAGAGGACAGACAGGTTCAAAATGATTTACCTCTGGCCCTGGGTTGGTTTTATAGGCCAAGGGTCATTTTATACTTGGGTATTTAAATCAATACCAGTTTAGGGCAAGATTATTTTTATGTCTAAAACTCTGACATGTGCCATTATATGTAGTATGTAATATATGTAATGTCTTCCACTTCTTTTACAATATAATGTCATAATGGATATTTACTGAGTTTTCTTAATCAGCCTATAATTCTCAGTTATGCTTGATTTATACATAGTTTCCATAGTTTTGTTTAGAGTAATAAGTGTTGTTAATAAAATGGAAGAAAAAAGATAGTTGCATTTTGATCCCTGGAATTTAGGGCTTCAACATTTGAATTTTGCAGGGAAACTGGTGAACTTATGACCACAGGATATATAAAATTCTGTAATTATGTTTATTTCAGTAGCTTAAACTGCAGGACTTACTGTCTGTAAAGGTCTTTTTAACAAACCAAATTATTACTGTACCCAAGTTTAGTGTGCACACATTAGCAGAACCAATAGCCAAGGCACTGGGATTTAGACAGAGAATGGCCCTTATTCAAAGAAGGGTTGTCACCTGTTAAGATGGGGAACAAGATCTCTACTTCATCTTGTTTGCTCTTCCAAAACAGTGGTTTCTGAACTGAAGCAGGGGGAAAGGAAGAAGCAGTGTGGGAGCAATCTCCACAGTGTGTGCCTGATGAAAGTTTCAGCTGCACACTGAGCAGTTAATGATCTTTGTTCCTGGTGTTTGTTGCAAGACAAGCTTCTAAAATCTCAGAATCACTTGACTTTTCTTCTACAGAGAAAGTAACGTGGTTGTTCAAGATAACAGTGATTATCTCAGAATACCTATGTGCAGTATCTTTTCAAGCTGCTTACTTGGGTTGGGGAAATTATTACCAACTAAGGCCAGTGGGAGAACAAAGGAAGAAGAAGGAAAAAAAAAAAAAGAAACTTCAAGTTAATACATAACCACTTAGAGGCAGAGAGAAAGTTAGCAGGCCATAGTAAATTTAATTCTAAGTTTTAATTGTAATGTGAGCTGGGTTATAGTCTTTTGCTTTTTTCTTCATTTTAACATAATTATATATATTTCAGTTGAGGATTACCCACACACATATATCACTTGGTTTTGTGTGTGTGTGTGTGTGTGTGTGTGTATTCCTTATTTCATGTAAATATAATCCGTCTAAGCATATATCTTTCATATGCTTCACATGTAACACTGTACAATATTTGTTTAAGATATGTGTTATCTTAAAATTTCAAAATCTGGTTCAACCTTTTGTGTTGAAAACCCTTACTCTATACTTCTAAAGAATATTCTAGAATCAGTGTGTCTTAAGTATAGGAAACTGTTGAGGAGATAGGGCTTGATGAATTTATGTTTATTTGAAGCAATGCAGTTAGATAGTAATACGGCCAGAGAACATCTATTTTTGTGTTTGGCAATCCAGATAAAATGGATGCAATGTTAGAGGCTATCTAGTGCTGTCCTGATTCACTATTTTTCTTTGAGCTATTAATAACACTACACATGTTTAAAATATTTTCATAAGTGCCCCTTCCCAAACCTATTCTATACATTAGTTCTTGATAGTATACACCAGAGGTTGGCCTGTAGTTTCAAGGAGTCCTGAAACCCTCCTGGGGGGTTTGCAAGGTTAGAACCATTTTCGGGATAAAACTAAGACTTTAAAAATCAAATATTTCATTTGCCTTAAAAATAATCATGTTGACATCCATTGATGTGTTGACATGGTTGCATCACAGATGCAGAAGAAATAGTGGATAAAATTACTGGAGTCTTTACGTGAATCAAGGCAGTGATGTTAAACTGAACTCTTAGTCTCTGTATTTTTAAGTATCCTCTACTCACAGGAAAAAGAAAAGCCAATTTTACTATAGATTGTCCACAAAGAAATAAATGGCTAGGGAAACAGAAAAGTGAAGACGAGTAAGCAATTAGGAATTTATCTACATAAATGGTGTGCAGATGCTTTTTGTACTTATTTATTCTTCCAAATTTTCTGTAAGTTTTAATTATTTCTAAATAAAAAGTTTACAAATTAAAAGTTACTGTGTAATGGGCTCATTACTGTTTCGTAATGAATTAATTAGTATATACTTAACATTTTCTCAGTTTAAATTTCTAATATTAATAGATTTAATGCACCTAAACAATTTCTCTTTGGGATCCTTGATACCTATTAGGATTATATAGGAGTTCAGGACCTTGGAGGTTGAGGACCTTTGATATTCACTGTGTTGGGGGGTAGAAGTCTCAGTATGTCTATTTTAGAACATTAATTAATGAAAGCTCATTTGATAGATACCACTTAGTAATTTTATAATTTAGAGCAAACCGCTTAACCTGTCTTTGCTTTGGTTCTCTCTTTTGTGAACTAGGGATAATCACATTGCCTATCTCAGAGGGCTAGCATAAGGTGTAAATCAGGAATTCTCCTCCAAAACAAGGCACTCATCTAGTGACCACTCCACAGTGCTGTCTATTGGCAGCAGGTTGTTTCTGCTGTGTTCTTGTCTCTCTGCCACTTACTTATTTCATTTTTCTTACTTGGTAAGTGATTTGGGTTATAATTATATGCAAATGTACCACTACAAAGTAACCAGAAATGAATACCAAGATAGTCCCTTTGAAATAAAATAAGTTTGTTTGTTTATTTATTTATTTATTTATTTATTTTGATGAGCAAGGGAGAGCACCCCCACCAGGGTCTTATTGCCATGGCCTACCTCCAGTCTTCAGCTAGCCCTGGATCATGGGAAAGCATGTTCCTGAAGTACTCAGGGAGTTCTCTGAACTTGAACTGGGAAACTTCCCATGTGAGACCGCCTCCCAGAGTGTTGCATTCAATATTGTGCCATAGTCTGGCTTCCAAGATAGTTCCTAAAATGCAAGTTTACAGTGGTTCATATCCTTTTAACAAAATGGTTAGGGTAAGATAAAAAAAAAAGTGAAAATGAGCAAATAATTAGAATATTAGGAAGAAGATCGTACACCTAAGCAGCTAGACTAGCGTTCTGTGAAGAATGGTTGATAGACCATATGACTGCACAGAGAATGTTTAGGAATGAACTGTAATCACTCTATTAGTACTGGTCCCTTCAGCATTCTAATATCCAGATATATATCCTCTTCTCCAAATGGGTATCTCTGTATTGGGTTAAGTTGGTGAAAAAATTACACTTAAGTAAAAAGAAGCGAGAGTAGTGTCTGTGTCATTTCTGTCATTTTTCTCAGCCTAAATCTAAGTTCACCTTCATTCTATCAAGCATCGAGATGGTGAGCAGAAAATTAGATTGTTGAACTATGTGGTATTCACCAATTTCAAACTCAGCTTTTGTGAATTTGTTTAAAAAGAAATTCAAGCATAAGTAAATGTAAAAGATTTATGCCCTTTTATTATGCTATTTATTGTGTTATGTATTTGCCATATTGTGACTTTTTTTTTTTTAACAGATCATCAGAAATTGGAAAGGGAAGCTAGAATCTGCCGTCTTTTGAAGCACCCCAATATTGGTAAGGAAATATTTTAAGTATATTTTAAATGTTAAAATTTTATATTATGTATATTGTACCATAGTAAAAAAAATTATAATTTAATTATACCAAATATTTGAAACTATTAAACAGATTCTTAATTTTGATCTTCATTACAGTTGATTCTTTAAAGTATTTTTGTGTGTTTATTATTAGTTTTTGATGAAATTTTGAAAAAGGAATGAAAAATAAAACTATAATTTCTACTGATCTTAATTTATAGGAATTAATAGTGTGCTAATGTATTCAATAGTGTGCATTTCTTGTTGGGTTCTAAGTTGACTGCACATGAAAAAAGCGGAAAACTGGGGTGTAATTTAAAGTATAAATAAATTTAGGTAATTTCCTGGGTTTATGATAGTACCAATATTTTTTTCAAGAATTATTTATTTAATTGATTTATTTATTTTAATTTTAATTTGACCAGAGAGAGAAACAGACAGAAGGAAAGTGAGAAAGCAAGTCACCAGGTCTGGGATTCAAACCAGGTCTGGGAATCTAGTACCTTAACAACCATGCCACCTGCTGGCCCTGATGTTAGCAAAATTTTGACTATACATTTTGGCATTTGCTACAGTAACTGATTCAATGTTCTTTTATAGACTTGAGTAAAATGAAAACGAGAGTCCTTTTCCTAATTGAGAAGTAATTATGAAGGTGATTTTTTTTTCCCAAAAAGATAACATTTTTTTCAGAAGGTAGCAATTCTTTATAAACTATCACTTTAAAAATGATATAAAATATTAATTAAGTAGTGCTTCATCTGTCTTTAGAAATTGTTCAACTTTTTCTGCTGTCCTATGGAGCCAGCTGATACTAAATTTTTTACCTGTTTTCTAAGAAGTTTTCTTTATGTTCATTGATTATACTCCAGAAACTAGTAAAATTATTTTAGGATGTTATCTCACTTGAATTATAAAATAGCATGATATTTTTTAAAAATTATGAACACAAGAAAAAGAGAAGGAAAACACAGGAAAGAAAAATTGAAAAAAAAAATCAATGTGTAAGATAAATTCTGTGACAGGAGTTCTGATTATTTTGGAAAATGTTCCTGTCCCAGTTCTGTCAGTTTTATTAATCTTGTCAACCAAACTATTTCTGGTTTAGAAATACTAAGAGAAGAGATGATAATGCCGTAAAATTTGCAAAATCATTTGTGAGAAGGGAATAATTATGTTACTCTTATGTTTAGGGCCAATTTCTATCCTGCTTTGAAGTTTTTAATATTCTATATTTAGTATCTTAGGTTCTTAAGTGAATGAACAGACACTATAGAATAAATCTGAAGCATTAACAGACTGACTGTTGTCTAAAGGGAACCTTTAGAGAGTTGGTGTTGAGAGAGAACAAAACTACTCTGAAATGTAAATTTTCCTCTTTGCATTTCTTGGTTGGCTATATTAGATCATTAGAGCTATCATAACAACGTACTACAGACTGGGAGGCTTGAACAACAAAAATGAATTTTCTCATAGTTTTGCAAGTTGTGAGTCCAAGATCAAGGTGTTGGCAGGGGTGGTTTCTTCTGATACTTCTCTCCTTGTCTTGTGGTTGGTCTTCTTTTCCCTGTGCCTTCACCTGGTCTCTACTCTAATTTCTTCTTCTTGTGAGGACAGCAGACATATTGGATTAGAGTCCATGCTAATGACTTCATTTTAACTTTATTACCCCCAATACAGCCACATTATAGGGTCCTCGGGGTAGGAGTTCAACATATGAATTTAGAGGGGACACAATTTAGCCAAGAATATTGGCTAAAGAGAAATATATGTATTGGGTCATCGGAAAAGTCGTGATGCGTTTTTCTGTTTTCCTATGCAAAAATGCATTGTGACTTTTCCAACGGCCCAGTGGTTCAAAGAGTGCTTCTCTTGTTCAAGATAAAACTAAATCTTCATTTATTGAACTTAATCAATTAAGTTTCTTTCTTTTTTCTATGAGAGACAGAGACAGAGAGACAAACACCCCAATAGGGTCTCGATGCTATGATCCACTCCAGCCTCAAACAGTCCTGGAACATGAGCATGTACTTGCCCAGCTCACTCATGGAGGTTTCTGGACATGGCCCAGAACCCTTTCATGTGGGTCAGCCGTCCAGAGCATTGTATTTTACTGCTATGCCACCATTGGGCCCCCAACTGTTTTCATTTTAACACTAATATAGAATATTCCTGTGATAAAAAGGGAAAGTTGTGCACTGAGGAAAGTTCTGAAGTTTGTGCCCTAGACAGCATCATCAGCATACTGACACAGTACGTACTTTGGTCAGGGATCCATGGTAGCCAAATGTCATAACTCCTTGGTTTCCTCACTTGAGGTTTTCTCCCATTTCTCAAGATTTCAGTGGAAATTCCAGGTCCTTGAACGTAGGGCACATTTGTAACCATAAGAGAGATTCCTAGTGATTCTGTATCCCAGGGTGTAATTCATAGATAAACATAATCTTAAAAATCATAACATGAACAAATTCATTATCTCATTCATTCATTAAAGAAGTTACTATTCTTGGAGTGTGGTAGGAACAAAACAGACTGATATCCTTTCCCTCATGGACTTTGCATTGGTGGGAGAGAGAGAAAGCAAACAAAATATTGGATTTTAAATGCTGGTAATTATTGAGGAAGAAAAGAGTGAACGCATAGATGAGAAATGGGAAATGTTGGAGGAATCCCAGTTTTAAGTAGCTGGTAGGGACCACTTCATTGAGAAAGTGAAATTTTAGTAAAGACCTAAAAAATTAGAGGAACCAAGTTATTTGGCTGTCTGGGAGGAAAACAAACAAAAATTATGGGGGGGGGAGGGGCAAAGCCCGAAAGGCCCAGAAATAGGATCTTGCCCAGTGGATTCCACCAATGCTTTTTATCTAATTGGAAAGATAAGAATAAGTTTTCATTTTTTCTTAATTCTATTAGTGAATGGGTTTAAATGCTATAGAATCTGTTGTATTTATTCTGTAAAGATCAATGATGTTAGAACAGTTACAGCTGGAGTTGTTGCAAAATAGTAAGCAATAGCCAGCAGAGGAGTGTTGTAAAGATCCATGTCATAAATGGACATCAGAGAGGATAATGGAGAGTAGGGACCAACAGCGTAGTGTGTGGAATGCTGCAGTTCTGCTGAGATCGTTGCATCTAGCAGTCTTCTCTTCACAAAGTTACTGGAAAATGAGTAGTATGAAGAAAATTATACTTGGATTTCAATGTAGTTTTCACCAAGGTAAACTGGTACTTTCATTCAACTTTTCTATAAAGTTTCACAACTCTTCTTGTGTCCTGTATAACGCTAGTCCCTACCAGTAAATCAGGTTTTACAGGGAAAGCAGCTTTTGAGTCTCAATTTCCCTGAAATAGATCATTTGATATCTAAGTCATTTAAGACCCTTATCCTTATCTTCCTTTCCTCTGCCTTATTTGTTCTGATTTGTTTTTTTCTTTTTTAAAAAATGTGCTAGAAGGGACATGAGCTCACTGTCCAGAAACAGCGGGATGATCATGCTGCAATCCTTTTTCCTCCATTTTTTCCTCCTTCTGGGTCTCTGGGCATTCATGCTCATGTGCCTGACATATTTTCAAGCCACTGGGTCTGAGAGTGGAACTGCATGGTTAGCCATGTGAGATCCAGCTGCCTTAACCACCACCGACTAGCTAGCCTATATTTGTTCAATTTTGAGATCTGTTAGGTGTGAGAAATTCAAGGAAGGAAATACTATTTTTGATCATTTTCCCCCATGAAAACTTGCTTGTTTCATTTTTGTATTTTTATGTCTCTTTCTCTTGGCACAGAATCAATAATAATGAGAACTTGCAGTAAGTAAAAGGTTTTTCCCAAAGAAACACAATTTAAACCAACTAAAGTTGGTGATTCATTAAGGCACCTTTCTTCACTCTTATTTTTTATGTTTTCTGATTTTAAAAATAATATACATATTTCATGGAAAACTTGGAAACTGTAATGGTACATGAAGAAGAAACAAGAAGAGACCACTTTTAATATTTATTTTACTCATTTCTGCCTTTTTATAAGTCTTACATAATGCTGACTTTCAGCATTCTCATGCATAATTTCATACCCCTTTTAGATATACTGTAAAAATTGTCTTACTCAACAATATTTTTGGAGCGTGGAGCTGTTGCCAAAATGTGTTCTAGGCTGTATGCACTGATGATAAAGAAGTGATCAAGAGACAATGTCCCTACTTTCCTAAAAGCCTTGTATCCTAGTATATAAACAAATAAAAATCATGACAGCGTCACAAGGATTAGTTCTATGCAGAGACTTAAAATGGGATAATTTGATACCAGGGACTGAGTGGCCACAGGCATAGAGGAACAAAACCAGGCACTAGCTGGAGGTGATAAAGGCAGATTTTATTCAGGACTACTGCCATAGAGGATAGAACCAAGCTTCTTTCCAAATACAACAAAGATAGCTTGGAAGTTATAGCTAAGGAGTAGAGGAGGCCAGAGGGTAGAAAATTACTAAGAAGAAACATCAGAGGTAGGGGCATTCTTGCTAATCTGGCCTAACAAGGTTTTTGCTATGGGCAGACCAAGAACTCCGACATCGGTGGTGCAAGATTCTGAGGAATTTTTGAGGAATTTGATCACAAACCAAAGGCAGGTGATGACTTTGGATTCTTTGCTTAGATTGACTTAGGGAGGTAGAGGGAAAAAGTCCAAAGGAGGCCTAATCAGAAAAAAGGAGTCTACCATTTAGTCAAAGAGTCTTAGTCACTTCTTTAGAGTGGCTTGTCAGATAAGATGTCTCTGTGGAGGTCACAGAGATATCTTAATGATACCTAAATGACACCTAGAAGTCACCCTGTAAAAGCTAAGGGAGAAAGAGTTCCTGGCAGAGAAAGTTTCCTTTGTTAGGTGAAGAGTAGAGAAACCGGTAGTTGGCCTGCATTGGGGGAAGGTAGGAAGGTGTCTAGTCAGGTAGGGCTTTGTAGATGGGAATTGGGAGCTTGAGCTTTG